TACCAGACTTGCTTCGGATGCTGAATCTGACCTATATTTTCATTCCTCAGTAACTATAAGCCCTACCTGAACCAAACTTATATGGATGATGCATCTTTGGATGGACACTACCAGACTTGCTTCGGATGCTGGATCTGACCTATATTTTCATTCCTAAGTAACTATAAGTCCTACCTGAGCCAAACTTGCATGGATGATGCATCTAGGGATGGACACTACCAGACTCTCTTCAGATGCTGGATCTGACCTATATTTTCATTCTCAAGTAACTATAAGCCCTACCTGAACCAAACTTACATGGATGATGCATCTTTGGATGGACACTACCAGACTTGCTTCGGATGCTGGATCTGACCTATATTTTCATTTCCAAGTAACTGTTAGCCCTACCTGAACCAAACTTGCATGGATGATGCATCTAGGGATGGACACTACCAGACTTGCTTCAGATGCTGGATCTGACTTATATTTTTATTCCCAAGTAACTATAAGCCCTACCTGAACCAAACTTACATGAATGATGCATCTAGGGATGGACACTACCAGACTTGCTTCGGATGCTGGATCTGACCTATATTTTCATTCCCAAGTAACTATAAGCTCTACCTAAACCAAACTTGCATGGATGATGCATCTAGGGATGGACAATACCAGACTTGCTTCGGATGCTGAATCTGACCTATATTTTCATTCCTCAGTAACTATAAGCCCTACCTGAACCAAACTTATATGGATGATGCATCTTTGGATGGACACTACCAGACTTGCTTCGGATGCTGGATCTGACCTATATTTTTATTCCCAACTAACTGTAAGTCCTACCTGAACCAAACTTGCATGGATGATGCATCTAGGGATGGACACCAACAAACTTGCTTCGGATGCTGGATCTGACCTATATTTTCATTCCCAAGTAACTATAAGTCCTACCTGAACCAAACTTGCATGGATGATGCATCTAGGGATGGACACCACCAAACTTGCTTCGGATGCTGAATCTGACCTATATTTTCATTCCTAAGTAACTATAAGTCCTACCTGAGCCAAACTTGCATGGATGATGCATCTAGGGATGGACACCACCAAACTTGCTTCGGATGCTGAATCTGACCTATATTTTCATTCCTAAGTAACTATAAGTCCTACCTGAGCCAAACTTGCATGGATGATGCATCTAGGGATGGACACTACCAGACTTGCTTCGGATGCTGGATCTGACCTATATTTTTATTCCCAAGTAACTATAAGTCCTACCTGAACCAAACTTGCATGGATGATGCATCTAGGGATGGACACCACCAAACTTGCTTCGGATGCTGAATCTGACCTATATTTTCATTCCTAACTAACTATAAGTCCTACCTGAACCAAACTTGCATGGATGATGCATCTAGGGATGGACAATACCTGACTTGCTTCGGATGCTGGATCTGACCTATATTTTCATTCCCAAGTATCTATAAGCCCTACCTGTACCAAACTTGCATGGATGATGCATCTAGGGATGGACACTACCAGACTTGCTTCGGATGCTGGATCTGACCTATATTTTCCAAACAAGCAATTCAGCTGCATCACTATTCTGGATATTCTGATCAAATTTTAAACACATACTAATTTTCATGTTGCTTTACTGATATATCCTCGGCGGGGCATTCATGTCCTATGGACATATTTCTAGTCTTCATAACCATTGCACATACTGAAATGAAATTTGGTATGCAGGTAGATCACATGAATATCTAGATCAAGTTTTGTTTTGGGTACAATCGCACCATAATTGACAGAGTTATGCCCCTTGGACTTAGAAAAATTCCAATTATTTGCAGTTTCAGATCATTTTCTTTGGAGAGGTTGCACATATTAAAATGGAATTTAGTATACAGATTAGTCAGATGAATATCTAGATCAAGCTATGTATTGGGTATGACCACACCATAATTGACAGAGTTATGCCCTTTGGACTTAAAAAATTCCAGATTTTTGCAGTTTCCGTTCATTCTTTTTGGAGAGGTTGCACATATTGAAATGGAATTTAGTATACAGATTAGTCAGATGAATATCTAGATCAAGCTATGTTTTGGGTACGATCGCACTATTGGCAATTGAAAGAGTTATGCCCCTTGGACTTAGAAAAATTCCATATTTTTGCAGTTTCTGTTCATTTTCTTTGGAGAAGTTGCACATATTGAAATGGAATTTAGTATACAGATTAGTCAGATGAATATCTTGGTCAAGCTCTGTTTTGGGTACGATCGCACCATTGACAATTGACAGAGTTATGCCCCTTGGACTTAGAAAAATTCCAATTTGTGGGGGAGGGGGGCATAAGTGTTTTACAAACATATCTTGTTTCTACTGAATCCAATGAATTGAAGGGGTATGCCCCTAAACAATCAAAACTTAGATGACATCTCAGAAATCACCATGGACTCAAAAATTGAAAAAAAAGAATGAGTTTGTTAACAATGAATTTAAAACAACAGAACACAATAAAGATAAAACATCTTCAGACGATTTTGATTTTTTTGTTTATGGTAAATTTGAAACAGGTACAAAACAGTTGAACATGTCCTCAGTTGACAAGATAAATTATAATCAGAATCTACTCTTTGTCCCCAAACAACGAATAGGGGTGAACTCAAAAAGCCTTAAAATTATCATTTCAATCTTGGATGAATCAATTTCCATGGTTGACCGGACCTTCAGTAAATGGCGGTCTGTGTAAGTTTTGTGTCATGTTCCTTCAGTCAGATGCCCAACATCAAAATCCGTCTGTTACACAACCTTTTACTGTGTATAAAAAAACCCGTGGAAAAACATCTGAACTTTTACAGCATCAAAATTTAGAACACCACAAGAGTGCCAAATCTGTTTATCGCAAATCTCGCTTGAAAGTATTACACTGTGGCCGAAATAGCGTTGCCTCGAGTATTGATACTATTGGATTTGACAATTGAACAATTTGAATCACGGATTGCATTCTATAAAACAAGCGCTTTAATTGGTTGATTAGGACCCGCCCACTCTCGTGCAGTATCATTTGCCTTTGTAAGTTGGAAAGCGTCCAACGGCCTTGTGATGGTCGAAATCTGATGGTGACTTTTTGAGAAAAAACAACAAAGACTTACTATGAAATCACTTTATAGCATGTGACATATACCTATCGCAGACTGTACATGTATATCGTTTGATGACAAACACTAATTTCATTTTATTCTACATGTAGTTCTGCCGATTTTCTATTCACGGCATTTTCAATTTTCGTTGGTGCAAATTGAAAACGCGTACATGCGTAGAAAACATATCCAGCTATATATAATACCGGAACACCCGTTGAAAAAAATATAAATTCTTATGTGGTAAAACATCGGATTAAATTAAAAGTTAACTGTTTTGTTGTCTCGAGTATCAAAATACCATGTTTCAAATGTGTTTGTGCACTGCATACCTATTTTAATTGTCGTCATGGCAATATTTAAACTTGCGATCTGGAAAAAAAACCGATATCCTTGTGCAGTGCACTTTTTACTGTAATGGCGAATATAATTTATATGTTCACTATAAAATAATTAATATCACTTACATAAACCAAAACTAAGTACGTTTAATTTTATTGATCATGTTGGTACATGTACTGAAGAAAAAACGAGGAAAACGGCCGTGTTTTTCAATTGCAAAAATATGCCCCTGGTGACGTGTATCATTTTTAAGCCAGTCCTGGGACAGATATTATTTGAAGATCATTAAAGGTTACCCACACTCACAATAATTTAATAAAATATTGTCCTCTGAATACTTCGCTCAGTAAAGGGGGCCTACCACTTGTTTACAAGTTTTCTACAGCTGTTCTTTCTTGGAAACATTCCCTGAGAAAGTGGGCGGGCTTATAAAAAAGCACCAATCAGATTCTTTGTTGCATTGTATAGTTTGAATATAGCCGAACTGAATTGTAAAACTGTTAAATCCAAATGTGTCGTCACCCAACGCAATGCTGATAAAGTCAAAGTGTATACTTTTGAGCGAGATTTGCGATAATACACAACCAAGATTACATCCAAAGTGCCATCTCCAACTATTCCATACAAACTCAATCAACAAAATCAGACACAGATTCAAACAAAATATAGTAGCTTGAGAAAATAGTAGATCTGATCATTCTTTGTGGGAAACCAAAAATCCTCTCTGAGGACAGAGAGGAAACAACAGGTGACTCCTCAAATCAAGGTAATTTCCAGGCAATATAATAGCTGTTGGCAAAGCATAATGAGCAGTTCTGGTTTCATGTACAAACAGAAAAAAGAATGTCTTATATAAACAGTCAATTCTTTAATTATCACCATTCGATTCATCGGCATTTTCCACAATACTGCCATGATTTCCCAAGAACAATTTTCCTGCTATATAAAATTCTCTTTATAACGCCAAATTTGCATACCGCCATCCGCCACCCTGTTTTCACAACAAATGTCCATTTTAAGTGTCAATTTATCTCGATATACCGCCACAGGTGCATGTGGTCAGTGAAGCGCGGTTAATTGGTTGACGCTATCCATGTTGTAAAGCATGCAAAGCCATACAAGGTATATGCAATTAAAAGATTAAATAAGAATTAAATAAAGAATAATCTAATTTGAACTTTTTAAAAAATGTTTTCTGTTAAATAAAAATCATTTAGTCACGAAAGCGGTCGTTATTAAAGTACGCCGATAACGATATTATTCTGATGATCTAAGATTTAAACAATGCAACGTTTGCTTAAAAAATGATTATACGGTATAAATTGTGAACTTTTCATCTACAATGATGCCATAAACAATGATTTATTCAAGAATTCATTTTACTTACTATCGGCTTTATATTACGACTATCGACCCAGCATGTTTTCTTTCAATATCAGAAGTCCAGATTTACATGCACATGCACACACATGTACTTGTCTTCATTTCATGACAGCACATCTTGTTTTAGCGAAATTGTACATAAAAATTTACTTGAAGTATTTTTAAATTTAGAAATGTTTTATATACATATACATGTGATATTAAGAATAGAAACACTAAATGGTATTTCTAAGAACGGTAACTCTACTTCCTATTTCCTAAAAATGGGAAATTCAATTCATCGCCAAATTTGTTATACCACCATGATTTCTAAATTACAAAAGGTGGCGGTTTATCGAGAATTAACTGTAACAGCAACACCAAAGAAATAGGAAAACATGATTATGCTTTTACATCTGAAATTCCGCAAAAAATGTACTGAAATTACACCCGTGCAATGAAAAGGGTAGGCAGGTCTGTAACTAGGTTTCTTCATAAAATCAACAGAAATTCAGAACATTGTATAAGGTGCATATACTACTTATAATTAGATCTGATGATAAGTCAGACAACTTTTAACTCTCAGTGCATAACTTAATGGAAGGATATGGAAATAACGAACAGTATTCAATCTCAACGTCCATTAAACAGATATACAAAATAAGAGCAGAGCAAACACGGACCTCCGAAACATCAGAGGTGGGATCAGGTGCCATGGAGGAGTGAGCATCCCCTGCCGACCGGTCACACCCGCCATGTGCTCGTTGTCATAATCAGGAAATAACGGAAAAAATCCGTGGTCAATTCAGTGTATAAATAATGGACTAATCTAATTCACAGTCTTTTCTTTAAATAATGCAGTGTTTACATGTATCTGATTTTCTTTAATTTACCCCTTTCACATTCAGCCACAAAGAGGTTGTCTTTGGTGTCCACACATAAACCAAATGGAAAGTATAGATCACAGTTATCAATGTAACGGAGGAACTGTCCATCCTGATTTAGGATGTGGATACAGTTGTTGTAACTGTCTGCTGTCAGGATCTGACTCTGGCTGTCTGTTGTGATGCCGAGTGGATCAAATGATCTTTTATTAGTAGAGGAATAAACAGTGTATCTAAATCGAAATTTTCCTGCCTGATTAACCACCACTACTGCATGGGCTCCATTGTCAGCCACACAGATATCCAGGTTTCTGTTCTCACTGATGTATTTAGCATAGTTACTAGATGAATACAGAGGTTTACCTTTACTATCAAACTGAATGGTTTGTGTTTCTGTGGAGCCAGAGTAACGGACAACTTTGGATTGTTTATCATCATCACTGTACATGGTAATAAGGAGGTCACCAGAGGAGGTACTACAGACACAGTATGGTATCCACCCCTGTAGTCTGATCAGTTCCTGTATCTGTTTATTCTTCACTATGTTTACAGTTCTTGTATCATCATCAGAATAAACTAGATCTCCACTCCTTGTCACTGCTATGTTATGTGGTATGTACCCAGACTTGGTTTGGATTGATTTCAGTAGTTTACCCTGAAGGTTAATGAGTTTCATGATTTTGTCTCCTCCACATGTCCAGATTTCTTCATCACTGAGACAGGTAACACTGCATAGTTTTTTACGCCCAGTGTCTATGGTGGTGATGAGTTTTGGTTCATCAAGCAGTGGTTTTACTGGAGGGGAGGATATATCTTCTAGTGTCTTCATTGTGTAGCCATGTTCTTCTGTTTTAATGGATAATGCTGAAAGAGAACCAAACATTTGTGCGAGCTGTTCTGTGTTGATCTGATGAGGAGAAAAAGCTGGTAATGAAACATTGACTTTAGGAGGTAAACTTCTGAATTCAGTATTCCTGGATTTGTACCCAGAGGTTAGGGAGACATCATTGGAGTCCAGTATTTTCTTCATATCAACTATGCATTGATCCACTTCTGCAGTAATCTGTTTGATTTCATTTTCCTGTTTATTTAGAGCAGCCAGGTGTTTAGATTTCATCTCATCAATTTCAGATTTCTTTTTGTTGACAATGACATTTATTTCTCTGTGCCAGTCTTCTCCTTGTTTGGTGACAGCTGTTGTCAGTTTCCTGTAGTGTGGTTCCAAGCTCTCTTTCTTGGCTTTTATTTCTGATGCAATTTCTTCATATTTTGGGTAAATTTTAGTCTCGAGTTCTTTTAATTCTTCTTCGATGTCTTTTGATTTGGAGCTGAGTTTTTGTAAAACATCTGATAAATGATGTCCCCTATGGTTACCTGAGGAGATGCAGGTAGAACAGACAGGAATGTCACATTGTTCACAGTAAAGTTCGCAATTCTTGGAATGCTTTGGACATTTTGGATTGTTAGGAGTTGAAATTTTTTCTTTATATGGTACAACTCTATGTCTTTTGGTCGAATCAGAGAGATGCTCTCCTACACAGGCCTTACACAGGTTGACATGACAAAGCTCGCAATGACTTTGAACAACATTTCTCTCACAGAGGTCACATCTAATGATGTCTTGAGCACAATATCGGGGGTCCATCACTGATGTTAGAGCCACTAGCTCAGGTGAAAGCCTGTATTGAAGTAGAGAAGTTAAAGTGATGGTTAAATACCACTTATGAAATTTCCATGAAATTAATTGATTCACTGATACAAACAATTTTTTTGAAAAGAAAAATAGAATCTAAAATTAATAAAGAAATTTGATATAAATTTTGAATGACCATAACAAACATATTTCATTGAGAAGATTAAATTTTCAGATACATCAATCATTATGACAATTCAAATTCCTTAATTATTTTCAGTCAAGCTTTCCATATTCAATGTTAATATAGTTTGTTAAGTTCTTAAAAAACCAATAATTTTCTCATGCACATAACTGTAAATACAAAGAGTACTTAATAACAAAATAAAAACAGCTTTACGTATTTTGTCTGACCTGTAAATCTAACATGGCTCCCGGACGACAACAACATTACTTCCTTCTTCACTTATCTGTCTTACCCTGTGTTCTGGTCACATGATTTAAATACTTGTACTTGTTTATACTAAAATGTATATATTGATCGCATGTCAGGTCAAATTTCTGTTTTGAAGTTGAATGTGGAGCATTCAACCTACTCTTTTATCATAGTCCACATTTTTTTAGTTAATGTATTGAACTTTTTTTAATGAAGAAAATTCATCACAGTAGTGATGAGATGTTGTTTTAGATTAAGGAAGGAATAAAGAACATGAACTATGTATTTTTCATTGAGTGGTTTCCCTTTGCTTTAAAAACATTTATTAAATGACCCAGGTGATACATACCATAAAATGTTGCAGAACAGCTCAAACACTTTCAATTGGCTTTTGATCATTTATTCCATTCTTGAATGCAGAAAAAAGGAAGAATATTATATCTAGCAGCACAATGGTTAAAAAATAATTTAAGGAATAAATCTCATAACTTGAGCTTGACCTCTGCTTGACCTTTGCCCCCCCCCCCCCATTGTTTTAATATTGTTAAAACAGAACAAATTTTACAATTGATATAGAAATTATTTCTTTTGTATTTATCATGACTTATTTTATAACTTATCCCACTTTTACCTTACTGTATCTGTGTAGGTTATTCTGACTGGAGAAATCTGATCAACAAGATATAGTTAGGGTCCAGAATTATACACAGTAACTTAACATGCAATCAAGATTGAAAATTTTTCTGTAAAAATACTCATTCATCTTTAAGAATACTAATTAGATAAAAATATTGCGTAATGTAATTATAACTGGATTAAGTCGTAATGAATTTTCTCAAACATTCTGTCTTGTATAAATCATATACACATCTTTTCATTCGAAAAAAAAACACTATTTAACATCAATTTTTAATATTATATACAATTTTTTATTTAATTTTTCAAGTCATGATTTTATGTTTTTTTTTAAATTTTTTTTTTTTGTAGAATTCTAAAAGGGAGGAGGAAAAAAATGAACACAACACGTCACTGAGTCGCAAAAAGTACAGGGAGGAAATCAAACAAGTAAGTCTTTCCCCCTCTCTCTCATTTCTCTCCCCCTCTCTCTTTCTCTGAGTTTTTCATAAGTATAGTTGACAGAGCATTCTTATTAGGTGTAGAAATTTAATAAAAAAGCTCCAGTATAAGGGACAAGCATGTCATCTGACCTTGACATTTTTTAAAGTGTTTGTAACAAAAAAGAACTTGAACTTTTCAGCACAATGGTGATGTCCAGCTCACCCGATACAGTAAATTACCAATGGAGGAGATTGCCAACAAACTTACAGTGGACAAAAAGGATGATATTAATGTCAAATTGAACAATGACCTTCAGTCCAATGTCAAGGTCAGCCAGATGGCAGAGATTCTGGTGTCAAAGTTCAAACAAGGCTTGGAGCCACCAGTTAAACAAAAAGTGGTAAAATTTTTGTTCAGAATCAGTGTAAAAATTTTGTGTATGAAACGACAAACATTGCATATGTTTCAAGACAGAAACCATGTATTCTATATGCATACATAAATGTACTCGCTATATCCCCTAGAAAACAACAGGTGTTCTTTTGGCCGCCCAGCCAGAGAGCGAGATCTGCTATTTCTGTAAGAAACGTGTGTACATCATGGAGAGAATGTGTGCTGAGGGCATCTTCTTCCACCGGGGCTGTCTGAAGTGTGATTTCTGTGAATGTGGACTGAGAGTTAACAACTACAGCTGTGACAGGGTAACAGGGGGTGAAGGTAAGTTAACAACTACAGCTGTGACAGGGTAACAGGGGGTGAAGGTAAGATCTTACCTTCACAATCTGTCAATCTGTCTCAAGGTCCACAACATCTCTCTTAGAGAATCATTGTATTAAGCTGTTATAAAGGTCCACAACATCTCTCTTAGAGGATCATTATAAGTTCTTTTAAAGGTCCATAACATCTCTCTTAGAGAATTATTGTAATTTCATATAAAGGTTCACATAATCTCTTTTAGAGGATCATTGTATTAAGTTCTTACAAAGGTTCACATCATCTCTCTTAGAGGATCATTATAAGTTCTTACAAAGGTCCACAACATCTCTCTTAAAGGATAATTTTAAGTTCTTACAAAGGTCCACAACATCTCTCATAGAGAATTATTGTAATTTCATAAAGGTTCACATCATCTCTTTTAGAGGATCATTGTATTAAGTTCTTACAAAGGTTCACATCATCTCTATTAGAGGATCATTGTATTAAGGTCTTACAAAGGTCCACATCATCTCTCTTAGAGGATCATTGTAAGTTCTTAGAAAGGTCCACATCACTGTATTAAGTTCTTTGATAGTTTTGTTATTTCCTTGTGTATTCTACATTTTTATCTCTCACAGTGAAGTTCTACTGTTTCCGCCATTCTAAGCCTGAGATGAGATTAGGTCGGGCCAAGAGAAAGCGAGCGTTTGAAGAGGACACATCAAAAGTAATTAAATTTATACCGAGGATGTATACCATAGTTGCCAACTCACCCGATTTCGTCGGGTCACACCCGATTTTTCAACCCGTAACCCGATTATTTTTTATAACCCAGCAGGTCATGCTTTTCACTTGATTTTTGCTGAACAACCCGAAAATTTCCCGATTTCCGGATTTGGTTCGTAAATTAGGTTGCACTTTTAACTTCCAGTTACAACCCAAGCTTAGCTCTACGTAAACAATGCCGATAGATTAATTATCAGTGCAGGTGTAAACAATTAACAGGGTGTTGTTTTGACAAATCAGTGTTTGAAGCATACTTGCCAACTCACCCGATTTCGTCGGGTCACACCCGATTTTTCAACCCGTAACCCGATTATTTTTTATGACCCGGCGGGTCATGCTTATCACCCGATTTTTGCCAAAAAACCCGAAAATCTCCCGATTTCCGGATTTGGTTCGTAAATTAGGTCGCACTTTTAACTTCCAGTTAAAACCCAAGCTTAGATCTACTCGTAAACAATGCCGATGGATTAATTATCAGTGCAGGTGTAAACAATTAACTGGGTGTTGTTTTGACAATTCAATGTTTGAAACCCATTAAAATGGCTTCCAATAGAACTAGATCGTTATCAGGGCCAACAGGAACAAATTGAACCAAACACATGTCTCTGATTAAACCAAGAAAAAGAGAAACGATATTTATGTACATATCTAGGAATCTTGGGGGAAAAAACTTTCATTCTAGATAAATAAAGTGATCGAAGACAGTGTAGGCCTAACTTCACATTTAAAACATATTGTAGTAAATTAATTAACAGAGAGGAAAAATAACTTCAAAACTGAAATTGGTATACTTTCAAATTTAGCAGAAACTGAAACATGTGAAAAGGCTTTAAAAAAAATGCACACTTATATACTACAGGTCAATATTGAAATATGAAACCTTCAATTCTCATTTTTAACATGTAAATTAAATCAAATTATATTTGAATTTTTTTGTCATAGTAAATTAAATCCTTTTTCAATAAAATAATTCTCAATACACAAATACTTTGTATATATATTATAAAATTTAATCATGGTAATTATGTCGTGAATGTCGTTACGCGTTATGACCAGATTTTTTACTTTCCAAATCTGGTCATGACCAGATTTTTACATGCTGGAGGTTGGCAAGTATGGTTTGAAGTCAATTATTTAAAATGGCTTCCGATAGAACTAGATCGTTATCAGGGCCAGCAAGAACAAATTGAACCAAACACATGTCTCTGATTGAACCAAGAAAAAGAGAAACAATATTTACTGGTAAATCTTGGAAAAGAAAACTTTCATTCTAGATTTTAAAAAAAGTGATCGAATACAGTGTAGGCCTAACTTCACATTTAATACATATTGCAGTTGTTAATTAAGAGAGAGGAAAAATAACTTAAGAACTGAATTAGGTAAACTTTCAAATTTAGCAGAAACTGGAAAGGCTTTGTAAAGAAAAAATGCACACTTACATTAGTTACTTCAGGTCAATACTGATATATGAAATCTTCAATTCTCTTTTTTAACATGTAAATTTAATCAAATTATGTATGAATTTTTTGTCATTGTAAATTAAAGCCTTTTTTCAATAAAAGAATTCTCAATACTCAAATACTTTGTATATATATGTATAAAATTTAATCATGCTAAATATGTTGTGAATGTCATTACGCGTTATGACCAGATTTTTTACTTTCCAAATCTGGTCATGACCAGATTTTTACATGCTGGAGGTTGGCAAGTATGCTGTATACATTTCTACATATTTATACAATTTTTAAAATTCTTTTTAGTAAATAATTATGCACTTTAACATGTTTAAGTAGGAACCAAAATTTTTCTTAAATATCAGTATTATTTGCTGAAAATTTTTATTTGATATTTCTTTTAAGGAGAACATACCAAAAATTGTGGAGGATATTGTTAAGACACCCAAAAAGGAAACAATTGGTGACTCCCCTAAAAAAATTCCAGGTATGGTGTTTGGTAGTAATATCTCCCTTTGTGTGAAGAAGATTAATCTAGCTTTGTGTTGGGAAGAATTATCTTCCTTATAATATTTTGAATAATCATATGGAGAGTAGTTGTGCAAGGAAGGAAATTGTATTTTTTAACTGTTATAATTTCAAACTCTTACATGAAACAATTGTAAAATCATATCCTCTTAAATACTTAAAGGAGCATGTATGGTAAATCAAGTACACTCTTAATTTTATAATACTATTCATTGCAAATCAAGTACACCCATATTTCAGAAATTTATAAAGTTAGAATATATTCAACATATGTACAGTGTACACATGCATTGAAATACTTAATAGATATTTATTGTTTACTTCTAACTTAATTTACAGTATTTAATATCTAACATATTAATTGTTTTTAACTGTATTCCACATCAACTGTGATGTACACAATTTCATGTAAATTACCTCATTTTTCGACATATTTAAGATAATCCCATACATTTATTTACCTCACTTTTCTACTTATTAAGGGTTAAGATTAACTCATCATTTATTAATTTTACATTG